TCTCTGTCCCTGGTGTCCCCCATTCCCACTCTGTCTCCAGTGTCCCCCAACCCCTCTCTCCCTCCTGCTGTCCCCAGGAGTTGGTGGCCTTGGCCAAGTTCATCCTGGGCAAGTTCTTTGCGCTGGCAGCCACCAACAAAAAGGCTTTTGTGGAGCTGCTCTTCTGGAAGAGCCCGACTGTCGCCTGGGAGATGACCAAGGGCTACAGCTCCCTGCAGGAGGGAGAAGGGTGAGTGGGCCTGGGGAGGGGGCTGCCACCCCCTCTCCCCTCCCCTCACCTCCCTTTTGCCCCTCCCCAGCTCTACCCGGAGCCGGGTCCCCCCCTGGACGCCCCAGGAGGAGCAGGAGCTGCGGGAGCTGTACTGGAAGTACAAGGAAGTGGAAGGTACCGGGGGTCTCTGGGGTCTCAGTGGGACCCCCGGGGGGTGGCGGGGGCTCTGTCCCTGCAGCCTCCCTGTCCCACAGGTGGGGACATCATCGCTGCCATCCTGGCCCATCTCCCGACGCCCGGGCGGACGCGGAGGCAGGTGGTGAAGCAGCTGGTGCGGATGGGGCTGGCCAGCAGTGGCAAGGACTTCCCACGGGAGAGGTGGGTCAGGGACCCCCGGGGACAGGGCAGGGACCCCTGGGGACAAGGCAGGGACCCCCGGGGACAGGACAGGGACCCACCTTCCCCCAGGACAAGGACCCACAGCTGTTTCCCACCCCCCAGGAAGGGCACCCACATCGTGCTGTGGACGCAGGAGCAGGAGGAGGAGCTGACGCGGCTCTTCGAGGAGTTCCAGGGCTCGGACGGTGAGCTGGACACGGGGGGCAGACCCCTAAAAGCCGCCTGTAGCCCCCCACCCTGATCCCCCTCCCCACAGATGTCCTGGGGAACATCATGAAGCACCTGACGGCGCGGCGCTCACGGGCTCGGGTGGTGGAGAAGCTGCTGGGGCTGGGGCTGGTGGCCGAACGCAAGGAGCTGTACAAGAAACGCCGGAGGAAGAGCCACGGCCCCGGGCAGGTACGGGGGGCTGGAGGGTCCTGGGGAGGGTCCTGGGGGTGCTGTCCCACCCTGGGGGCACCCAAACACGGCCTGTCCCCATCCTGGGCACCCAAGCACTGCTGGTTCCCACAGGCTGCCACAGGTGTCCCGGCCATGCCAGCTCAAGACAGCTCAGGAGAGGATGACAGCGAGGAGGAGGAAGAGGAGGATGAGGATGAAGCAGAGGGAGACCCCATGGAGGAGCACTGGCTGCCCGAGGAAGGGGCTGGGCAGGACCTGGCGCAGCGCCTGCAGCAGGAAGGTGGGCGAGGGGCTCCGACCCCCCCAGCTGGGCTCGGCTGCGGGGCCGGACCCTGTGTCACCTTCTGCTGTCCCCAGGCCTGGCCGGGCCCCTGCGGTGGCTGGAGAACTGTCTGCGGAGGGTGGCAGGGGACCGCGAGGAGGACGGTGAGTGGGGTGGGGGTCATGGGGGGGGCTATGGGGTTGGGGTCCCTCTGACGGCGCTCCCGGTCCAGGCGTGTCCCACCCGGTGCCGCTGGTGCCACTGACGGAGGAGAACGAGGATGCCATGGAGGACCGGCGCTTCCGGAGCCTCCTGCGGCAGCTGGGGCTGCGGCCCCCCGCCAGCGAGCAGGTGAGGTCCCTGTCCCCATCCC